AGTCTTGCTTGTTTTTGAACTTTATATCAATGAAATAAATAGTCTTTTGAATGTGTATGTCTGGACTCATTGCTTGTGGGGCTCACCCATGTTGCTGCTGCACAATTTTATCATTTTGAAGTGCTTGACAGAATCCTACTATTAAAAAACAGCACAATTTACATATCGCTTCCATGTTTGATGGATATTTGGGTTGCTTTATTTTTTATGTTACAAATATTACTATTTGAAACATTTTTGTCCACTGTCTTTAGTATGTATACTGCATCTCTCTCTCTCTACTAGGCTTTTTTCTAGAAGTATTCTTGATTGATCAAAGGACATGTGTACTTCTATTCTCATTTAACGTACCACCAAACAGTTTTCAACAATTCTGAAGCCAATTTTGCACACCTCCCAGCAGTGAATGGAGGTTCCAGGCATTCCAGATTTTTGCACTTACATGGTATGGTAAGTCTTCTTAATGTTAGCCGTTCTGGTGGGTATTCAGTAGGCTCTCTGTTTGGCTCTACTCTCTCTGGTTACAGATCAATACCTTTTCCTCTGTTTACTGGCCCTTGGATATTCCCTTTTGTGACATGCTTGTTAGTATTTCTGCCCATTTTTTAACTCGATAGACTTTTTTATTGATGTGAAGGAGTTCCTTATATAATGTGCACAAAAGGTCTTTGTAGGATGCAACTACATTGAACAGCTTCTTCCTCTATGCCGTGTCTTTTTACTCTCAGTCATGGATTTTGGTTAAAAAAATAGCTCCATATATTAATATATTCTAGTATAATACTAATCTTTTCCTTTGTAGTTATTAGTTTTATGTCTTATTTTAAAAGTTTTATTATATGAAGGTCATAAAGGTATTTTTCTATGTTAACTTCTGTAAGTGTTTTAATGTAGATCTAGAATTCACCTGGAATTGCTTTTGCATATGGTATGAAATTCGTTTTTTCCCACAGGATTATCCAGGTGACCAAGCACCCTCCCATGGGAAGGCCACCCTTCCACACTCTTCTGCAAGGCAGCAGTGTATATTTTGAGGTCATGTTATTAAGCAAATGCATCTTTGGAATTGTGTATTATTGTGTGGCAACCTTTTTGGCCTTGAAGTTGCTATTGCCAGATATTCTCTAGTCTTCTCATTTATTTTGGCCTATTTTTCCTTTAAGAAAAGCCACTTCATGACTCTATTTTGTATTATTGCATTGCTAACAATAATACAGCAGAAATCAAGTCTTAGGAATCCAATAGACTACTCTCATTTTTAACCCTGAATTGCTCATCACTTAATTTGATAATAAATACTGTAAACTGGAATTACATCTGCTATCTTATATTAAACACTTTTTCCCCTTTCCTTATTTTTGATTGATGGAGGTTTTGAAATGGGGCTCTCTCTATGTTGCCCATACTAGACTCAAATTCATGAGCTCAAGGGATCCTCCCACCTCAGCCTCCCAAGTATTGGGGACTGCAGGAAGGTACCACCATAGCCATCTTGATGGAGATTTTAAAACTCTCTACTATACTTTAATTTTGGAACTGAACATGATTTCTATTACTGTGGTCTTTGTTTAAATTTTTAACATGCTGCAAACTTAAAAGTCTAAGCACAAGTCTAAAGTTAATCTATTCGTGTTTTTAAACAATTCAAAATCTAAGAACACTTCAAATCATCCTCTACTATAATTTTATTTCTAATTTTATTTTTTCTACAATTAGACATTATTATTATTTCAACAGTGATTATTCAGACTTGTGCATACTCTCAATATTGATTTGTTCACTAATTCTTCTTGTACCTTATGTCTTCCTTCTGGAAAGTTTTTTAAATGATGGTATTCTGCTCATAAACTAAGAGTTGTATTTATCTACAAATGTCTTCATTTCACAGGCATTCTCGAATAATAATTACACTGTGGATATTCCATTCCACGTGAGAGTTACTGTCTCTCAAAAATTTGAAAATATTTTTACATAGTCTTTGGGTTTCTGCTTCTGCTACTTAAAAGCAAGCTTTTCAATCTGCTACTCTTTTATAGAAAAATTGCCTTTTTTCATTGGCTACTTTTAAGATATTCTCTGTGTCTGTGGAATTCTGCTATCCTGCCAATATTTCTCTGTGACTGCCTTAATTAGTGTGACAGATTATTTGAACTGTCACATTCAAATTCTTCTTTTTTGCATTCAAATTTTCAACGTGATATGAGCCCTTCAAGAGATGGAGTCTCTATTTGTATCTTAACTCCAGGTTTGACCAAATAACTTGCTTTGGACAATAAAAAAAAATAGCAAATGTGATCAGGTAAACAGCCTTGAAAAGCACACACACACACAGGGGCTGCCTTTAGTTTTAAGCTTTGAATCTCACAGCTACCATGTAAATAGGCTGCGCCAGCCTGGAGAATGAGGCTACAAGGAGAAGAAATGAAAGACAGGCGTCCACAGCCAGCCGTTTCCAGAGCTGGGTCTCAGATTCTCCTGCCAGCTGGTGACCAAGACAGTTAAGAGAGCAGCAGGTCTCGGCTATGCCAGGCCAGACCAGAAAGATCTACACACTGAATTGGGAGCTGAGGGAAATGGCTGCTCAGAAGCCTGGGAGTTCTCCAAGTGGCTTGTTAGGCAGCAAAAGGTTAACATATTCCTTCACTTCATTTTACTTCCTACAGTGAGAACTGATGTCTTTTAACAAGTTTAGAAAATGCTTAATGATTAATAATGGTGCCCTTAAACTATCATCTTTTGGACTTTCCAATTATATGTGTATATACACATACACACACACAAATTAAAGGGATGTGTAAAAGGTTTTACATAATTGTGTCCTTTTTATATTTTAGTTTCTTCCTTACGTTCATGTCTGTATCTCTCAATACTGTTAGGAGAATTACTTTGATGGTGTTTTTCATTTCATTAGTGCTCTCCTCACCTGTGTCTAATCTACTGTCCAGCAGTTTGACTTCAATGACTGCATTTTTTCGTTTCAGAAAGTGCTTCTCAATTCAATTATTCCTGGTTCTATTTATCATCTCCAGTCACCATACACTCTTTAATTTACAAACTTTTTCCTTAAACATTTTAACGTAAGAATTTTTTTTAAAAAGTTTTAAGCATCTTTGCTAATTCCAATTTATGTAGTCCTTGGAGGGCTAATTCATTCTTTCTTCTCACGGCCACTCATAGTGTCTTTAAAAACTCATACTTTTGTGGTCTTTATCTGCAGGCATCCTGGGAGATGTGCACCAAACCTGACTTTCTGCAAAAATAATTTGCATTTTCTTCATCAGGAGTTTCGAGGTACCAACCCAGAAGTGCTTTAAGATAGTTTGTGGATAAAGCAAATCTAGGTTTCAGGCCTACATTATGACCGGGTAGAGGTTCAATTTCTGGGGGAATTTTTTTTTTTTAATCTGGAAATGAGGGAGAGACAGGCTGTCACTGGATAGGCTCCCTTTGCTGGGCAGGAGACTTCCCAGCCTACCTTTTTATAGAGATAGCTTCATCCTACATCCTGGCTTTACTTCAGAAGTTTCCAAACCAAGCATGAATGGGATCTAAAACACATCTTACATTTCACACACATTGTTGATACTTCAGTCTTCAGCTACAATTTTCATACACTACTTGTGGGAATGCAAAATGGTTTAGACACTTTGTAAAACAGTTTGGCAGTTTCTTAGGAAGCCAAACATACATTTACCATATGATTCAGCAATCCCACACCTACGTATTTACCTAAGAGAAATGTAAACCTTTGCTCATAGAAAAACCTGTATGCAAATGTTTACAGTAGCTTTATTTATAACTGCCCAAAATTGAAAACAGCTCAGATGTTCATCAGTGAGGAACGGATAAACAAACTGGAGTCTATTCATACAACAGAACTGGAATACTACTCAGCAACAGAAAGGAAGGAACCAACTATACGCACAAGAACATGAGGGAATCCCAGCATGCACACTTAAGTAAATACTTACATCCATGGAAGATTCCATTTATATAACACTCTGGAAAAGGCCAGGCTAGGGTTAGAGACCAGATTGGTGGACGCTAGAGGCTCGCAGTAAAGAGAAGGGCTGAGCACAAAGGTCACTGGGATGTTTTTAGAGGTGATGGGATACTTTACCTTAAAATGATAGGCAATGAGATTCTACAGATTGTGCAAAATTGTACACAGTTTTGAGAGGGGTAAATTTTATTGCATGTAAACTATAGCTTCATTTTTAAAAAAGGAAAGGGAAAATCCTGAAGGCTTCAAGTTTCTAGCAGTGGCATACATTCTTCTGGTTTTTCTCTCCTACAAGTATTTTGTTCCTAAAAATGTCATTTCTTCTCAGCATAAAGATGGATTTTTAAAGGTTTGTGTTGCATTGTATCCAGCATTTACAGGCATTTTGAATCAGGAGGATTTTTATAATACCTGCTCCGCCATACTGCCAGAGGCAAAAGTCTGTCATTCTTAAAGAACAAGACTATCTTTACATTTTTATGGTGTTTTTAGGTTTTCCCATTCAGTTTATCATTGTATCCTCCTGTCTTCATGAAGTTCAGTAATGCAGTTACGCTCTTAGACAAAAGACAAAAAGATGAAAGCTCAAGTGAGCTGAGATTTGTTTCCTATCACATACATAGACTTCATTCTCAAGCCTGAATTAACATACATTTGAAGGATGGAAGCCAATTTGAGTGTCATCTAAGTTCCCCCAAATTAGGAAATCAATGAGACACAGTAGCTGTGTGGCCCCTGGGTACATGGCTTAGCTCCATGCCTAATTTCAAAGCATCTACTTTACAGAGTCATTGCAACAAGGAAATAAGTTAATTCGTGTCAAGCACTTAGAAAAGCATGTGGCACATATTAAGTGCTTAATTAGAATCTGGTATTATTACAGTATGCCTTTCCCACTAATATAATTATATACACATCTCCAAATGTTAAAACTGAGCAGTATATATGCACACACACATATATATGAATGCATGAGTGAATGAAAGTTAGCACTTACTTTGAATAAGCCATGCTTCTGGTTGCGCTGACCAAGCCATAAGTTGCTTCCTGGGGGAAGACTGGTCTCTGGAGGATCTATCACGCGCTCATAAATCCTGCAGAGGCAAAGAACACAGTCACTAACAGACACAAAGCAGAGTAAACAGGTACAAATGCTGCTGGGAGGATAGTGCATCAGCTGCTGGCATAGAGAGAAGGAGCCCAGATGTGGTGAACTGTAAATAAAGGTGACGTCACTGCAAAGATCTGTTTGCTGGTAGCCCCTGGACTCATGACCTAGGCCTCTGCCTTTCTATAACCTCCCTTTTGGGAAGGGAGTGACCATGAGGGAAACATTTTTTACTGTTCACTCCAAGCAATGAACTTCACACACACCCTGAGGAAAGTGATTTTATGTAAATGTTACAGACAAAAACGCTGAGGTTGAGAGAAGGCAAACACATCTATGCAGTGGAGAAAGCACAGAGTAGTGGAATGAAGATAACAACACTCATCTGGCTGGCTCCAAAGTGCATGTACCCCCCTCTGCACCTCACTGCTCCTGGACCTTGCTTTATGCAGCTGCTGCTCCTCTCCAGTAACCCCAGAGAATCCTTTAAACAGGAGGGCAGTACCTGCCTACATGACCACATGCTTGGTCTACAAAACCCAGTCACTAAAGTCATCATCCAATCACAGATTGAGCCCTATTTATATTCCAACCTCCACACTTGGCCACAGGAAAAGAGAACCATAAACCAGGTACATAAAGCCCTGCCTCTGTGGATTAAAAGTGAGATAACATTCTGCAGAGGGAAAATTCTTTATCTGATACATAATAGGAACATTGCTAACACAAGGCCACAGTTCTGGGATCTGCAAAGATTCCTATAGAGCCTGCACAACTGTCTGTCTCAATTGTCCAGCCTCATCAAGGCCCAGTGAAGCTACAAATGTTTAAATCCATACTCAAAGGTAGTCCCTGCAACCATTCGCGGATTACAAGGCTCTGCTTCACCCCTGGCAAGTACCTCTTAGCTCCTGGAGCGTACAGGCTTCTTGGTGGAGACAGATGGAGCCATCTGGACCTGTCAGTCCTGGAGAGAGCCCTGCCCAGCCTGCCTTCTCTGTCTCCACTCAAATCCCTGTAAGGAGTCAGTCATCCCTCAGGTGCATCCTAGGTCAGGACCACCAATCTATCCTCTGCGCCGGGAGGGAGCAGACTGCCTCCTGCAGGGGCTGATGGATTTCCCCAGTGGATCCCAGAAGCAAAGTGCACTAGAATTTAAGACTGTCCAGTGGACCCAAGGCAAGTGAAGGACTGCAAGCCGCTGCAGTGGGGAGGGGTCACCCTGCCTCCTTATACCTCAGCCACGCCCGTCACTCTACCGCACCCACTGGAAACGCAACGCGCTGCTCCCTAACAGCAAGTGCAGTGTATTGTTAGGAACCTGAAGTATATCAGGTCTTTCTCTACTAATTATCTTCCCGTTATAAACGGAGACTCAAAACATAATTAAGGAAAAAATAAGTTTCCCTTAAAAACACAAGCTGTGTTTTCTTCCTGGGAATCTAACATTTTTTTGTATGTTATAATGAATAATTTTGAATAAAACATTGTCAAAACTGCTTTTAACACAAGAAGCTGTTATATACTTCCTTTAAAAACTAGAAACAAGCCAAATTTACAACAAAGGAGAAATACATAAGTTAGAGTAGATCAGCTTGAAAGAATTTACTGCAGTCATTAGCAGTGATAAATATGCAGGCTATGAAAAATGAGAAAGTATATACAAAATAATTTTCACTGAGAATGTGGTAGGCAAAATTATTTATGCACTGTGGAGATAACGGTGCAAAAATTACGTTCAATGCTAGTAAATATAAGAAAGACCAGAGAGAAATGGAAATCAGTGTATTTAGGGAAAGAGGTGGAAGTATAATTTTCTATAAGGCTGCTTTCCTAATAAATTGAAAATGTTGTCAACCCATTTGCCTTAACTTACATTTTAAATCATTTGCCTGTCAGAGGGAGAGCCACATTCAATTCAAAAGCTTTCTTTCTGGTGTTCAATATGCTAGAAGATGAGCTCCAATGGGCAGAGTAGGTCCTAAATCAATGTTTATTAAGTGCATGAGTGTATGAAGGACAGAACAATCTAAAAGATCAACTTCCTATCCTGCCTTACCTTCTGCAAGCGTAATGGCTCCCTGTGCCTTAGAAAAAGTCGAGGAAGTAAACACCGGAGGTTGTCCACCATCAGCTAAAGCACAGAGACCCAACTCATGCGTCAAAGTGGTTTTTGTGATTCCATACGACACACAGCCTCCATCAGAACCTCCTCCTCCTGCCAAGGAAAATACACTAGATGCTGCTTTCCTGGCAACCCTGTGGATTCCTTACAAAAGGCAAGTCTCACTAGGGAATTCCATGCAGCAGGCAGAATCAACACACTGAATACAGACATAGCAACGGGGAGAGAGTTTTAAAATACCGTATTTTTAAAAGCACAGAGGGAGGAAATATAATGAGGAGGAGGGAACACCAGGCAAACCCGCACTGAAGGACATCCCACAGAATGACCGCCTGTGTGCCAGAGGGCTGGTATCACAAGGGAGAGGCTAAGGAACAGTTTGCGATTGAACGAGATCAAAGAGACATAAAAACTAAGTACGAGATGGGATCCTAGATTGGATCTTGTGGCAGGAAAAAGAGTGCTATGAAGGATGATATCAGGAAAAGTGAATCTGAGTAAGACCTGCAGATTATGTAATAATATTGTGTCAATGCTCAATTCCCTGATTTTGATAATCAGGCCATATATATTTCAGTGAGTATCCTGTTCTCAGGAAATAGGCACTGTAGTATTTAGGGTTAGAAGGTCAGGAAGTTTGTAACTCACTCTCAAGGTTCCAAATACAGTGTGTGTGTGTACACGTCCATACATGTACAAATAAGCACACTGCTGTTTACAAAGAGAAAAGGCAGAATCTGTGCCAACTACATGACTGTTCTTTGTGCCATTCATATAATTCTCAGGGAGATTAGAATTGTTTTTAAATAAAACTTTTTAAAACCTCTAAAAGTTCTAATATATACATATATATAAACACTATTATTGTATTTGTACAATGCAATAAAAGAATGTTATCAATTAGCCAAAGATATTGATAGTGTTTCCCTAGTGTATGCTTAGTGGGAATGGTGAAGAAGAAAAAAAGTGAATGAAAGACTTAGTGAATGAAAGAAAACCCAAAAGGAATATTATGCAGACCGATGCTGTCATCATAAACTAAGAAACGGGATTATCACATTCCTACCTGAATAACTCAGTGAAAGTTCCCTTGTCTGCCTGACAAACAGGTCAGAATCTTGGCTAAAAGGCAACTACTGAGCCCTGGCTCATGTCAAAAGGCAGGTAGGATGAGGTGATGATTCCCTCAATTCGGAGTCACCTAAGTGAAGTAAAACGAGAAGTCAAAGCTAGTACGGTAAACTCCTTGCTCTACCGTGTGGGGAGGAAATGGAAGCCTCTGATACAGCACTCAGGCCAATGAGGTTTCCCTCTTTATCAGCGAATGCCCAATGCCTACAACATATGTGCCACTGTTCTGGCGATGGAGATGCACAAGGTGACTTTAAAATGGCCAAGCCCTGGCCCTCGGGTCCTCTGCTGACACAGACAGGCACTGTTCAGACGCGCATCTTCCACTGCAGTCCACTGCACGCCAAGCCCTTCCATGCCTCTTCCCAAAGCAGGAGGGATTAGCCTTTGCTGGTACCCTTGGGCCCAGCACTTTCCCCTCAAGCTGTCTGTATTTCCGGACTGCGGCTACCACCTACCATCTGCGGGGTCTCAGAGAAATGGCACCTGCACTGCAGCACCCCGCACCTGCTCAGGTGTCTCCTGTACTGAGAGACCCTCCCTGATCATCCCACAGAAAGTAGCTCCTCATCACCCGCTCACTCCAAATCGCTTAGCTTGTCAAAGCTGGCACCCTTCCCAAATGAGCTCTTTGCTGACCAACTGTCTCATCCTACCAGACTGTAAGCCCACTGGAAGCAAGAATCTGGTCTTTTTCAAGTCAGCATCTCCATTGCCTTGCCGAGGAGGTGACCACTTGATATATTGAGCAAATAAACGAATGATTTCTCTCTGACACTCTCTTCAGAACACTGGGACTAGAGTCAGATACTTCTAAAAGCCTTACTAGGGCAAAACTTTACACTGTGCAATCCACAAAACTAAAAAATTCTGACTGAAAAAAGCAGATATTCAAACTTGACATGTCCTGATACAGGTAATCATGAGGGAAATAAAGTCAATAAAATTAAGTGAAATATGATAATCCTTTTTCTACTTCTTCCCTTCATGATCCTACCTCATGAGATTTACACAGAAGCTAGAAAGAAAGCTCAAGGTACAGTCTTCTTTGCTATTTTTAAGCCGGAAAAGAGATAGTGGCAGCAAGCTTAAATCTGTCAGGCAGATAACTCACTGAAAGGAAAGCCGGACAGATGCATGTCAGAAAGAAGGAAACAGAGTCAGCAACTAGAAAATTAATTAGATCAAGTGCAATCCTTTTCATAAGTGAATGATTTACAGCTTAGGATATTATATTATAATCGGCCCAAATGCATCATATTCCTAGAGGCTGTCAGGCGTAAATAATGCATTTACTCCCCAGTCAACTAAAATCTACCCTTTCTTTTGACTGAAGAAAATCTAATTCCCATCTCATTCAGTTTCTGAGGTTTTGAGCTCACTTGAGCCACTAAACAAGGTCTGTATTGGGAGAATTTTGGGAATTGTGCATGCCATTAGTATCTATTAGTATTTTAAAGAGTAAGTATCTCATTTCTAATACAATACCATGGAAAATTAAGCATTCTGTCACACATAAAACCTACTTGAAAAGAATGAACAATGCAGAGGAGGAACAGAAGCACTGCTCGGTGAAAGTCAGTGCCTGAATCCAGGGTTCACACTAGGAATTTTCTTCACAAGGCACAGACTCCCTTCATTTTTGACTTTGTGTGAGAACACCCTTGCTTGGAGCTATCCCACCTGCCAAAATGGCCCATCAATAGTCTATGAAGAACTTGATTTTCCTG